CTCCTACACTAGAGCGCTGACCGCGAGAGGGGGAAAAGCTGAAATAACTAAACTAACGAATCAAAATTTGCTCACATCTAGTTTCGTAATCAGCTAGGTGCTGAGGGAAACGGACGCATCGTCCGGAACGACTAGTGGACGGAGTGAGGTTGGCGGGAGGGATATCTGGGGTAGGTGTGGGTGTTGTTGGTATATCAAGATTGCAGGATGTGGTCGTGGGTGCTTCAATGTAGGCAGGTTTCAGACGATCAATGGAGACGTTATCGTACTTCCCGCTTCTCTCTAAAACAAAGTATTTGGAGTGACATTCGATAACTTTGAAGGGGCCATCATAACAGGGTTGGGGGGCGGGTTTCCCCGTTGCGTCATGTCGTACAACTGCAAATGACGTAGAAGAGAGATCGGTTGAGATGTGTTTTGTTCGGGTTGATCGTCTGGTCGGTGTCGCACGAAGTTCGGTCATATGCTGTTTGAGACGGGTGGCCAATGTGACGGGGGATTCGGACTGTGCACCAGAAGGGGAGAGCATTTCACCAGGCAAACGTAAAGTTGTACCGTATGCTTGTTCGGCTGGGGAACAGTGGAGATCCTCTTAATAGTGGAGCGAATAGCAAGCAAAATGAGGGGTAAAGAAGAGGACCATGAAGATGGGTTCATTTGGGTAGTCAAGGCAGCTTTGAGGTATCGATGGAAACGCTCAGCCAGACGGTTGGAACAGGGATGATACGCGGTAGTCGATATGTGATGGAAACCGAATAGTGTAGAAAACTCACGGAAGAGATTACACTGAAATTGTGAACCGCGATCCGTAGGTAACGGTGGAGGCATGCCAAAGCAGCGACAGAGTTACGAATGTCAAACTCTAAAGTCACTCCCCCGATCCGTTCCGGCTGAAGTTCGGATTGCCAAGGTTTCCATTGAGCCATCTTCTCGCCGGATGCACAATAAACCCAAAATAACAGCAAGTCACTAAAATGAACGCGCGAAAACCGGTAGCCACGCCTGATGCGCGGTCTTTCCGAATGCCTTTGGACGATGTCACTTTTCCGTGATGTTGGCTTATGGCTTATTGTTCATAGTAGGTGGGTTGACCATATTTGGGTTGTTCAAGTTTTTGGTAATGACTGAATAGCTTGCTGTTTTCCGGAAAACGGCTATTGATTGGAGTGTATGACATGGTGAAGTTTCACACTAGCGTACGTCAACATGCCTGAATGCAGGCCTTAGTGTCTTTAGCATCCTCGCAATTGACTTTCAAGATTAAAATTTCAGCCTTGGTTGTCACACTGAGTATATCTAGACACTAGGCGGACAGGTGTATGTGACCATAGACCCCAGACCTCACTGATTGGTACGGACATCGTGATATCGGGCCATTAAAAATGGGTGAAAGCAGACCAGTTTGATTATCTGTGTTCAAGCAGTGCATAACGACGACAACGGTTTACTTCGAATGCAATGTGTGTTTGTTCCTCGTATTAGCCATGTTTACTGACCCAGCGGTAAATTTTTCTTTCCATGGACCCATGGGATTCACGGATTGATACACAGGATCGAGGCTTTTGCCCAAGTTTCCCGGGTCGGTTTTGTTCTTGTCGGTCAGTGGCTGTCGTTCACCTGAAAGGCACAAGTGAAAAAAGGGTGTAGCACTGCTCTTTATGTTCTCAGCGCGGGGCAGAATGCTCGCTAGCGCGAGGATTCGCATAAATAAATGTCTAATAGTGCTTTAAATTGGGTTCGAGAAGGAGCGTGTACAACCGTCGGAGGAAGGTCATTCCACGCAGCTACTACCCGAAATGAAAAAAAGTTTTGTCTAACGGATGTGTGTGCCCTGAGCTTGAAGATTTTCTTACTATGTCCCCGCCGGGTGCTTGCTGGGTTAACGGTAAAAAACCTGTTTGCCAAGCTTTGTTCAAACAGGGCGTAGGTAAGAATTAGGTCCCCTCGGAGGCGACGGTACTCCAGGGGAAAGAGATCAAGCGTCGCGAGACGCGTTTCGTAGTCCACGGACTTGAGGCCGGCAACCATTCTCGTGGCGGCCCGCTGGACACGCTCAATGAGGGTAACGTCTTTCGTACGTCCTGAGTAGACAACTTGGTTGGCGTACTCCAGGAGCGGTCTGACGTAGGCCCCATAGAGTATTTGGAAGTCCATGCGAGTAATACGGGAGAAGGTACGTCGGATCATCCGTAAAACGGCGAATGCCTTTTGGGCCGATTTCTCATGGTGTAGTGCGAAGGACAAGTTTGAGGAGACCCAGATGCCTAAATCTTTTTTGGCATCTATCCTCATGATGTTTTCTGGTCCCTTTTCACCATGCATAACAAAGGCATTCGCTGAATCCCCTCCAAACGACACATGGACGCACTTTTCATCATTCAGAGGAAGGTGCCAGTCCAACGACCACTGCTTGGCAGCGTCTACATCCATTTGGAGGGCGCTGGCATTGGAACTCCAGGATTTCAAGTCGTCCGCAAAAAGTAAACATGGACTCGCAAGAACGTCTGGGAGGTCGTTGACGTAGATCAGAAACAGGAGTGGTCCCAAGACGGAGCCTTGAGGAACTCCAATGGAGACCGGCGCTGGAGAGGAATAGGTTGAGCCTATTCTCACTCGGAATGACCTGTCTGATAGGAACGCCTTGATCCAGCGAAGGATTTTCCCTTGAATTCCGTAAGACTCGAGTTTGTGGAGCAGCGGGACGTGTGGGACCCTATCAAATGCTTTTGAGAAGTCGAAAAATATGGCATCCGATATGAGTCCTTCGTCCTTGGCTTGGGTTAAGCTGTCCATAAACACGAGCATGTTTGTCACGCAAGAACGGTTTGGGAGAAATTCGTGTTGAGCTGGAGATATCAGATTGCTGGAAGTAAGGTGATCTAGGATGGCTCGCTTCAGAATGCGTTCCATCACCTTGCACGGCACAGTAGTAGTGTGTAGACTTGCCGATCTGAAAGCAGTGACAAGTGGGTTGCTGCTTTGGTAAAGCAGGGTAATACGCCCATCCCATAAGTTTACGAGCATGATCCTGAGAGTTTGATGTGACACGCTAGACTAGTGGGTAAGCGTTTTAACGTGTTGTGAGGTTTTCGACAAGTGGATTGAGATATTTTTGCCAGGGTTGCTTTTGGAAATCACGTGCAGACCTGATTTCTCTGCTTTGTATGAAAAGTGATAGCCTGCAACAGCACGCGTGATGAGGCTAGCAACGAGATTAGTGAATGTTTCAGTTGTAGGGTCTTGTCTGTTTTACCGTCGTTCTGGTTGTTTCGGATCCTAGACGGACGAGACTTCTGGTTGTGATATCAATTCACGCGAGACTGAAAGGTTTCAACAGTCCTCCTCGACTTTTGGGTAGCAAATTTTTGGAAGGCCTTCATCGCTATTCTGTGGCATATCGACGAAGAGGGTTATAGGTGGTTGCTCATAGCGCATATCTGAAAGTGCGATTCGGAAGCACAAAGGGTAGATCCCATACGACCCTGCAGTGTTGCGAACCACTCTTTGGTTTGATGTCAACGTATACCTGAGATGGAAGACCATCGGGCTCTTTGTTCACATCTACTTTGGATTCATAACACGTTAGCATATTGAAAGACTCACATGAAGAGAGTGCATTTTCTGACGGCTTATGAACTCCAATTCACTCGAGATTCAGTTTGCTTCTTATGGTGTGGTCTATTTTTGGGATGGTACACTGATGGTTGGTAAGCGGTCCACGCATACTCTGTATCCTAAGCCACCTGGGATGAGGAGCAATAGGTTGCGATTGTCATGCCCGTCTCTAGTGCCATACCCTCTTCGATCATAGGCGAATGACTGTGGCAACCATAAACACTATGACAAGTACGCAGTTTTTAACGCTGATGTGACAAATTACTAGCGGAAGTGTCATAGCTGTCTGTCTTGGCGCAGCCGTGGTTTTCGTTGGCATTCTTAACTTGATGTGTCCTAATCTGGGCGTGCTTGATCATCGTTATCTATAAGTTTATTTTCTTACACAGAGTTGTTGCTTATTGATTGATTTATGTTTTTTCTCGTTGATCTCGCACCTGAACTAATCTCATGACCGCTCGGTCGTGCAGCAAATATTCAGCAACTTGTCCCACAGATTTATTTTAATAATTTTATGTTGTGGGAAGCCTCTGTTCTGGAGCGAAAACTTCACGGTCACTGTTGTCGTAGAACGAGATCGTGTGCACTAAAGTCGACGCATTGACCAAGACACTACTCCTTTCAATCTTTTCTGTCCTGTGTGTATCAAGCTACATTACGTGTGATTGTGATACCTGCCCCCCCCTGGAACAGCAAAACTGGGTCGTCTTTAGGTTGCCTTCGGATCATGGCTGTTTTTGGGGTGGTGCCAGCGAGTCCTCGATCGACCGTTCTTGTTTGTCTTCTAGCCAGACGGTCTGGATAAGTGTCAAGTGATGTATGCCCCGTTTGATTGTGGCGCAGTAACACGACGTCCCATCCCCGTCCACTTTTATATTTTGTTTCGTAACAAGGCTATGAAGCACCGGTTTTCAGCACTGGTGTGCTGTGGTTGATGTTTCTGATAATAACGAAGAAAGAGAATCCGTTGACAAACTTTCCTCTCTGTTACCTCTTTCTCCCCTAGTTCTGCATTACTTTGCCTAGCCTATCCGACTTTGCTGACTATCACCAAGAAGTGTGTTCACCGTTTTCTATGAGAACTCCAAAAGTACCTGGTTCGGATGATATCCCTTCAGCGTTTTGTTTCTTAACAGCGCTGATCTTACCCTATTCATTCCCTGTCTAGGCATGGGCAACCTGGCACTATCACAGTCCTCGTGCTTCCTTCAGGTGGCATGGCAGCTAGGCACCGAAAGGAAAGGATCGCTGAACGACTGTCTTTTTTATTTTACCCCATTCATTTCAAAGTTATATCATTTTTTCTCATCCGTTTTTCCTTCGAGAAAAAAATATTCGTCACTTCCACCCACTCGTGAGCCACTTTAATGTCTACCGCCTCATCTTTTCAATGTCCTCAAATTAGTTCTGACCAGGCAACTTCGCTAGTCGAGTGAGATTTTGTTGAGCGACCAATATGGATACAGGCCCTACCGTTTTGTGACTAGTATACAGGTGCGCGCCTCACACATACACTTTCTGCCTGAGTTGGGCCATGCTTTGTGTCCTTCTCACCTGCGGACTACAACTGAGCCTAATCACTTTGATTGTGCTTTCTGTATAAGAATCCTGTGCAATTGTGCCTTGGAAACCAGTGCTGGAGTTCCCGAAGAATCTGTCCTTCACGCTATCCCTCCCGTATGCGAAATATGTGCTATTGCCCCTCAGTTCTTCTATCCATACACTTATCTTCCATCTACTACTCCCAGCGCTCTGCCTCATTCCGTATATGCGGTGACCGGGTACGAGATATTCCACCCTGAACACCGGCCCTGCCCATATACTTCAATGGTACAAAGCGCAGAGTGCTGCTGCAAGACTGGGTGAGCTCAAACCCAAACCTCATGCTTGAGGGGGACCCAATCGACGTGATGGAGAAATTCGTTTACCCGGACTGTCTAGAGACAATTCTGCTTCTCGAATGGGGAATACATGACCAGCTTTTGCAAACCTCGGACACTTGTGGCGCCAGCGTGACCTTAGTTTTTCTGTCACTGTCAGAATTTACACTGCGGTAGCTTCGTGGATCAGAAATGTGCTCTGTACGCGCAAAGGGCATACGAAAATTATCGGTATTTGATCATCCGTGCGAATTTACTTACCGGAAGGTGCGTGGTTCGAACCCGACCTCTGTCTGTCGACTTTCTCTGTCTAGGCTTGGGCAACCCGGCAATATCCCAGCCCTCGTGCTTCCTTCGAGTAGCATGGCAGCTAGGCACCGAAGGGTGTTACAGCTGAGAGATCGGCGTCTCCAAAGTGCTGGTTGGGTCTGGCTGGAACATCGGGTTAGCAATATCGAGGGACGCCAGATAGTTTTTGGGATAAGGAACTTTTTCATGATAGATAAATTAATCATGCCCCATAGGTTACCTTGATTAGGATATATTTTCCGCATGGTAGTGGGCTGTTTGCACCACAGAGCTC